AATCTTAGTAATCTTCTATTCGTTGTTCCCTAGTTTGAAGTGGTTAAGACTAGGGTTCTGATGCATGGTCATTATCGGTGTCATTGTTTGTTTTTGTTGCTAAGGAATCCAGTTTTGACTGACAAAGGGGCGCACCTTTGAAGGGTGTCCTAACCAGGGCTCTACAATTTCGAAGCTCTAAAATGAACTCGTGTTTTGTTTCTCTCATACATACGTGTTCGACGCTTCATTTCTATAACGCCTAGCTAGACTATCAGCAAGAAACGAAAATAAAAAAGAAGGACGCTTAGAAGGAAAGGCTGGCTGTGGAACTTCTCGTCGTTGCTTTGCTCATAGCTTTCAATGTAACTAACGTCGATTTTCTAGTTAAACGAACTTCATTATGGCTTTCAATCCCCTTTCACGAACACTCTATCACCGCTCTTTCAATTTGTTTAAAATGCGTTAGGTCCCGTTTTCGATCATTTTTTTTAGATAAATATATGGATGGAAGATAAATTAGAAATATCACGTGTAATCTTCAAGTGTTTTGACGTGAGAAATGCTTTAAATGTGTTATTTCATTTTCCGTCATATACGTCATGAAACCTCTGTTGATGTGTTTCATGAAAGAGAAAACTATCAAACTCGAGCGTTCTTTCGCTCATCCATTTCGACGAAGCTTGAAAGGAAGACCAATGGAGCGACGGGAGAAAGAGAGACAAGCGATTGAACATTTGTTTTTGCACGCCGACTGAGGTTCTAGAATGCTGCGAAGCTGTTCGACTTTAACAGAAAAAGAAAGCCAGCAGTCTCTTCGTCGCATCTATTTGGTCGATTGAAGCTGATATTGTGACGCCCTGGTCCTAACACTCTGAAGGGTATAAATAGCGGGACCTTTCAATTAGAGTCGATTCCTTGCGATGAAGGCAAGAATGACAACAGTATGAAAACCGAATTCTTCATCATTTCTCAATAGTGATGGAGTAATACGACATGCACTAAACTAAGGACACGGGATATACTACAATAGACCAAATTACTGGTCGCAGTAGTGTTATGTCCCGAACAGAGAAAAAAATATAATAACTTAGTTAAACTAAGCTTACAACGGTCGTGTTATCATATAAAGAGATATGAAGCCATTGAAATTAACTATTCACATTTATTGAATTTCTAGGAAGACGTGTGCCTTGGTCAAAACTTTAGAGTTTTTCAACGAATTTTCATCTTCACTGCTATGCACAAAGTCCAGTGCTTGTTGGATCATCCTAAAAATTTGTATTTGAGACAAAATTCTATCAGCCAAACTGAAAAAAAAAATATTATAAAAATAACAATTCATGATAAATCAATCAATCAAAAATCAATTACGACTGGTTTCGCCCCACTGTGCAGGGTGATGCCGATATTATTCCGGCGATAACGCATACTGCTTCCGACGAGATGGTTCTGTACGCATTCATGACCATGAGCCGGAACGTACTGTTCAGTTTTCATTTGGTTCTGCTTCGTTTCCAGCGCTGCAACCCAGGCAGCACCTCCATACCTCAGTATCGACGCCCAGACACTGGCCAGAAGACGCCTCTTGCTACTGCTGGGACCAGAGCTGTTTGGCATGATTCTAGCTATCGCGTTGATGGCCTTCGAAGCCTTCTCACAGGCATAATCAACGTGGCTGTTGAAGCTTAGTCATCGATCATCACTCCCAAGTATTTCAACACGCGCTTCGAGGCTATGGCGTGCTCCCCGACAATGTTTTTTGATCGCTGCACCGCTTTACAGTTACTGACCAATACCAACTCCGTTTTGTGGTGATCTATCTGCAGCTTCACTCCTTGCATCCAGCTACCAATCATGTCGATCGCCTCGGTCGCCAACATTTCCACCTCGTCCAGCGTCTCACCTGTTACCGTCAAGCCAACGATCTCAACGCCTTTTGGCAGCTTCGGCGTTGAACATCCCGTTCCAAAGCGTTGGGCAAATAATGGAGCCTTGTGGAACTCTCGCTGTGATCTTAATCGATCTCTGTCCCATGTCTGTCTCGTAGACCAGAACCCGGTTCACCGAGTTCCCTTTTTTTGCCGTTCGACGACGACGGGTTTGCGAGAGAAAAATAGGCATCGGGAATGTGCTCCCGGATGTATTGATTTGGTGAGTACGTTCCAGTTGAAGATTGTTATTATACATTTTCAAGGGGACGTCCGGAGAGCTTTGAGACTTAGAAAAAAATATATAAGAAATGTCCATTCAAATCGGTTTAATACAGTTGAACAAATGTCAAAACTATATACGTGCCAGATTTGGAAATAATATTTTTTGAATCTGGAAGTGTGTTTATGATACCATTATCCATTTGATAAAGGTAAAGTGAACATGCGGGGCTTATTGTAAGTAAAAGTGAGCTCGGAGTGGTCGTGAATTACCAGGCATTCTGAAACGGGTCACTGGAGCTGCAATAGAGCTAACACCTTATAACTCCCGGACTAAACCTGCTTTAATTTAAGGATAATAAAAAGCAGTTTTCTTCCATAATAACACTGCCGGACAGTGGGGGTTATATTGTACACACACACACGGAGGATCTGAAGCCGTTCTCCACCCTAAATAGTTCCTACTTAAATTGTCATTTTGACGTAATTTATTTATGATTATTATATTTATTGTCACCAACAACACAACTTAGGGTTGATGCATATATTATGTCACGCTCTAGAGGGGGAGGGGGTCTAAGATTTTGTGACAAGCAATGCATTAGGAGAATTTCTCCTCGATTTAGCGAGACATAATTAATGCATGGGCCCTTACAGTGCAATTAATTGGCGATTATGTATGTACTCGATGTGGCTTCTATATCCTATACAATCGTAAATCAAATGAGTAAAGTCGCCAACCGCTTCCAGGATTCCTTTTCACACACCTAAAATTTGCAGCTGCAGAATTTTAAGGTAAATGCTTCTATCGTTGTGGATGCTCATATAGCTGTGGTACTGGAATAAATGATGATTTTCAAGATAAGTGGAGTAACATGCAGGTTTGATTGATTACTTATAGTTTTATAACACAACATAACATTTTTCAAATAATAATAATAATAAACATACTTCTTAAAAATTACATAGCCTTTGCCCCTATAGTTTCGGTATGAAAAGGCGACAGCATGCCATTAACCAGTCGATACCGCAACTATAGGAACAAGAAGTATCAAATATTTTTTCCGTAAAATAGAGGTGCAAAGCAACCCTAATAAACAAATATCATTAACGAACGATAATCCAAATGGTAGAACTATTGAATGACATCCCAAAAACGTCGTTAAGCACTTTTATGAGAGAAGTTCGAATGCTAGAATAAATGTTTATTTGATTTTATATAAATTAAACAAGTTAGTTTCTCCACAATTGGATCTCTTACCCTAAGTAGGCATCACACAAAAATAAATCCTGTTATCCTTTTTACACGCTGTGCAAATTTCTGTGCCTGTGTCGTGGTCGTGGGTCTTTGGTTTTTCTTTACCTGTATTTCGGATCAGACACATTATACGCATGTTTGTGTATTTTGCTTACGGGCTGTCCATATTCCACGTTGACAGTTTTTGAGAGGTTTTAGCCCTCCCCTAAATTACAACTGTGTGAGCAATCATAAAAAAGGACCGTGGACATTCGCCAACCCCCTCCCGCTCCTAAACTGTCCACGTGGTATATGGACAGCCCCTTACTTTGAGCTTAGGTTAGAAAATACGCTCTATAAAACGTTCAAATACCTTTCTCTGCTAAATGGAAGAAGATTAAAAGGCTTATTGTTCGAGTGAATTTAAAAGCGTCTTTTATCCGGACCCTCACTGTAGGGTGTAGCGTTGTATAGCGTAGAGCACAAGCACATGGTACCGTACGGCCCTTTAATCTTGCGCGCGTTCTGATTCTACTGAATGAAACGTCCCTTTTGATCTCTGGGTGACGAATGGTGGTGTTGTGCTGTACACTTACTGGTCTGCAGCGGTCGTGGTGGACGAAATTCATGCACTGCACACACAGTAACTCGTAACTCCAGTCAGTGTACAGCAGCAGTAGGGAGTGGTTAGTCAGTCGAATGTTTGCTAGCTGCCCATGTCATCCATCGAAGAACACTCATCACACCATCAGGGTGTCTCGTCCGTAGTACGTACGGTATTGTGTGTATGTAGGCTAGGGTGCCAATGAAATGTATGGAAAAAAGTGACCATCGCGTTTTTCAAACCGACCATTTATAGAATGTTCATTGTTTCGATAAAAAGACCCTATGCAAAATTTGCGCTTAATCAGACATGATTTGGGGTGGCGCAAAATTGTCCAAGTCCCAACTTTCTTCATTTGAAAAATCTCCCAAGGTGGGATACGTGAAATTTCGGAAATTTTGTTTGTTTTTACAAGTTTTATTTTTTTACAGATAATACTAGATCTCGGCGTTTTACGCATTTTAAAGTAATTTGGCCTTAAAAAAATCGATTTCCAATTTCCTTCGGAAATTTTCAGTTGAAAAAAGTTTAAACTTTTACGATTTTGCCCCACCTTAATTCATATCCGATTGAGCCCAAATTTGGCAAAGGGTCTTTTTTCGAGGCAATGAACATGTTGTATATCAGGCATAACATTTGATAACGGCACAAAAGCATTTGTAAACAAACATTCTAAGGCCCTTTAGACGCGAACCAAAGTACGCCCACGCAAACCAATACCACTTTCGGAAAGGTGATAGTTGCCCCTATCCGATGATGTGGTTCGTTTGCGTGGGAGTGCTTTGGTTTACGTGTAAAGGGCCTTGGAAAGTTTGTTTACAAATGCTTTTGTCCCGTTATCAAATGTTATGCCTGATATGTTCTGTTTCGTAATTTTATTCATTGGCACCCTAATGTAGGCATAGGCACACATAAATGCACATACCTACAGAATTGAGTCAGCGTTGAGTTCGTCCGGGTCGCGAGGGAAACGTGCGTCTGGATTCGCCGATTGTTGTGTAGTGTGATTGGGGATGTTTGTGACGAGCGCGCGCAGCTCAGTTCATTGCGGTCGGTTATCATGTGTGGAAGGCATATCACGGACGGGTAGTGCTGCCTCTCGAGCAGTTAGTGCATTGTGTTTTTGTACAATATACTAAAACACTTGGCAAAACAAAACAAACAAAAAACTAAAGTGCCATTCAGTGGATTTTGATCCTGATTCGATTTCTGATGAGTGCAGTGGCTTATGCCAAAGAAAATCTGCAAACATGGTGATGTTTACGCCCGGTATATCGATATTCGCGACCATAAGTGCCATATTCGTTTTCGTGTTCGGAATAATAGGTAATAATCGAAGAAATTGAAAATGTGTGCTAAGGAGTGCCATAAGCGATACTGTGATATTACTATCAATTTACTGATAAGAAAGCGAAGCTCTCTAACTGCAGTGTTGACACACCAGAAACGAAGAAATGATTGAAATGTGACCGTTTACAGAATGAAGAGAATACGTTCAAACAGAATAAAGAAGTTCATTGTTATCAAGCAACCACACTGTGTGTGTGCAGGAGGGAGGGATATCTCGTTTAGTTTATCCTGACACCACGGACATGTTGCTGCCGAGAATGAGGAATACCACTTCCAAAGACAGACGTGTACAGCTGATGTGTACAGAGAAAAGAGCATCTCATTACCGATCGTGTAAACATAAACACGCCGTCTGAATTGCAAATCTTGGCTAATGAAATGGACCATATCGTAATGTTTATTTACGGCCAAATTGAAAGCACCGATCGGTAACGTATAAATTGTGGATGTGACGTACATATCGCTAATACTACGGTCGATTTTGTTTTAGGTATTTTCAGACTTGTTGAAAACTTTTTTTTATTGTGTGTTACTTGATTAATGTAATTCACCGATGCTGTGTCGGATGCACGACGAAACCCAATTGTTACATACTGTAATGGTTTTAAAATTTCCCGGTAGGCTAGAACACTTCCATGTATTGAATTACAGCGTAAGATCTACGAATTATAAACCTAGTTTTACCCACTTCAATTTATGAGGGGCGTGTTCATGATAAGGATGAGATCTCGAATATGGCAACTCGATACTAAGGTCTTGAACCTAAAAATACAAAACGCTGTCTAATTAATGACTCAATGTTACAAGGCAAAAATTACTTGTTGCCAAGATCTAACTAAGTAGAAGTTGTCTCTAGATTAAATCATCCTAAATTTTGTCTCTTGTTTATATTAAGTGTAGAGACTCGGCATCTCCACAACCAAGGATGATTTTGTGCGCACCTTGTCGCTAAATCTGTTTGAAGTTAAAGTTTTTACTTTTCTAGTTGATACTAATGAATTATGTTTTTTTTTTTCAGGGGCTATCAGAAAATAAGTTAGAGGTAATAGCAAGGGGCATGATTACGGTAGAGTAAGGTAGAGCAAAAGTTTGATATTTTCGAAGCATGTGCAAAATAAATACGGAAGTTTTTTTTTTGGAGACAGGCTCCCTATGGAGGGATCCAACCCTTTTTATTCCTTCATTTGTTTTCCGTCGATCTTGTTTTCCATGCTGAGCACCAATGCTACCGACGCCAGGGAGGCAGCTCCCACACTTGGACCCTACCTATCGACCTATCAACTCATAAACCGGGGACCAACGGCTTCACTTCCCTTCCGAAGGAAGGCGTGATCAGAGATGTTATGCCTCAGAACATCCCGGCGGCGCCGACTGGGATTGAACCCAGGCCTGCTGGGGTGAGAAGTAATCACGCTTACCTTTACACCACCGACACCGCTGATCCGACCCTTCTTACTAAATCAAATTTTGAACAACTTCCTCGGATGGCAGCGTAGGAGCTGTTCTAGTCTCGGCGACGAAGTCGCGGCATGATGCCGTTGAATTTGTTGGGCGGCGGTGGCCAAGTGCATCGGCGTATCACTTGGTGGTCTTAAAAATATCAACATAAATTCAAGTAAGGTAATATAAATGAAACACAAATATTGTATTGGTGCTATAGCAACGCTATTTGAAATTTTTTACCGTGTTACCGTGCATCGTATCTAAGTACAACCCGCACTTTACCTCGCTCTCTTACGATGATTTCTTTCAAAGATGACATCTAGATTCGAATAATAATCTAGGCCTTAAATAAACAGTTCTAAACAATATACAAAAAAACTGAACAAGTCGGATGTATTGAATTTAAGTTATCACACCGGCTTTGAAAATGAGTTTTCAAGATAATCGCGTTTAAAGATTTAAATTATATTCTCTGTATCGTGGACATTAGACTGATGCAAAATTTGAAATTTTCACTCCACATTGCTCAAACGGTTCCAAATTGGGCCCTGATTAGCCTCCCAAAATTTGAACTCATTTAGTGAGAAACTGACTTGGCACAAATCATTTGAAGTTTATATGGGATTTACTATGAAGAAACCATAATTTCGGTGCATATCTATTTCAAAATTCACCAGTTCACTCTACTTTAGAAAATGATAGCTGAGCTTGTTGAAAATTTTTCTCAGTTACAACTTTGTTAAAGACCACTTTTCGATCAAATGTAAGGAACAAAAATTATTAATGATTCTACCGTAATAAAAAATTACCATAAACGAACGATAACCCAAATAAGAGAACTATTCCACAAATAGTTTAGATGATACCCCGAACACGTCGTTAAGCAAAATAACCGTAACAGTTTTATTAGGGAAGTCACTGATGTCTTATGTTTAGGTTCAATCAACTGTTCAGCAGGCAACATTAGTGTCTATGGCGCGTAGAATAGAGGAAAGAAAATCATGGCTACTATGTCACACTGCAGAATACAGTGTTGCCTACAATACAGTTGCTTAATCTTGCCATAAGATTATCAATCTCTTAAACAATTAATAACTATTTAATTTGACGTTTGGCTGAAAAACGATTTTCTGCAAAGTTGTAGCTGATAAACAATTCCCATAAGAATAGTAAAAGAATTTGTTAACAGTATGTAAAAGGGCTAGAAGACAATGAACAAAAAGTTTTGGTTTCCCATAGTTATTTCCATATAAACTTCAAATGGTTTGTGCCAAGTCAGTTTCTTATCAACTGAGTTTAAACTTTCGGAGACTAATCAGGACCCGATTTGGAACCGTTTGAACAATGTGGAGCGAAAATTTCAAATTTTGCATCAGTCTAGTGGACATGGTATTCTTCAAAGTCGCATAACTGCGTCAATTTTTATCGGATCAGTTTGAAATTTTGGGAAAATAATCGGTTTGAATTTTCTGTTCGATATTACGGAAATCGGCGCTTATGTCCAAGTAGTTTTCTACCCTATCGGAATTATGTCTAAGGTTGTGTGGATGAATGCTTGATCTTTGTATCGATACTGAACAAACAATATGACCAAAATTAATCTTAGTATTGAATTGCTTTGCTATTTAATATGTCACATGATGGGTTTTAGCTTGAGACTCTGTCCATTTCACTGGGGGAATTTGGAACGTGTCCAGGGATGGTCAATGCATAGTGATAGTATGAGATTTGAGTGGAAAAAGTTGATTTTAAATATGTAGTGTCTTCGGGAAATTTGTTACTGGAAACACCATCGCTGTTTCCTAAAGTAGTTTTGCAATATTTTTAATTATCCTGTATTATATAGCCTAGTTAGTTATAGCAAAGTATCACCGAATCGAAGGCGGTGGGTTTGATTTACAGCCCAGTCTCGAAAATCTTATGGATTGGAAATTGTCTCGACTTCCACGAGCATAGACTGGGAGTGTGTCAAGAACACGAAGTTGGGAGCAGCCAAAACTCTCGCGTAAGAAGCGACAAAGCCAGTAAGAATGAGAAGGTCAAATATGACTTTATCCATGGATGAATGCTCGATATTTGTGAATATATTGTCAGTCCAGCACTCGTATGGATTCGTGAGGTACCGTTAAACCTTGGTTTTCATTTTCTATGTGATTTGTATGTAACGGATTTGATGTGTCGATGTGTGATACCCGGGGCATCTTTCATGTGATTTCATGTCGATGCAACTTTAAGATATTGTCGATGTGGTTACTTCCCATGAGATTCCATGAACTTGTAAGATTATGACTATTATGGGCCTGAGCACTATGATCACCAATTTAAAATATTGTTTTTGAGCTATTATGTGACTAAGTTTCGCGTGATGGGCTTTGGCTCCAGAAAAAACTCTGACCACTTGCTTAGGGATGACTGAACATGTCCGAAAATGAGCAATGTAGTCCTGATTATTATGATTTACAATAATCTTGTGGTTGAATTCGTTTGAGACTTATTATGTAGTCTCTGGATACATACTCACCTGAACATGATCTGGAGGTATCCTGTTGACTGATTTAATCAATCCGGTATATGGTAAAGATACCGTTCATTTGATCCTTTTTGGGTATAATTTTGTGCAGTGGTTGGCGAGAAACATGTCTTCCAAAATGAAAAAGTAAAAAAAAATGTATATTTACATTGTCGGCGTTTCAATAATTATAACGGTGGCGTATCAAAAATCACCACGGTGACACGCCGTCTCAATCATCGGCGGCGGCTTCGTGTGAAAAAGTACCTGGTGCGACGGCGTGGCGCGGCAGTGCACTGGTCTAATCGAGAAATGGAGATTCGTCTGTAGTCATTTTAACCAATATTGTTAGGGTATTTCAGGCGACAAATGCACCCCGGGCAAAACGCCCGATTTGGTTTTTCATAGCTATTCCACTCTTAATTCTGGGATTTTTTGTGCCGAAATCTTAGTTTAAGTACTTAACTAGCACTGTGGCTCGTCAAAATTATGAATTAAAAACAGAAATGCTATGAAAAATCGCATCGGGTGTTTTTCCCCGAGGTGCATTTTAGGCTGTTTTCACTTGTTGTGAATTGTCCAGTGATGAGATTCACTCCCAAGACGTCCAGCGTGAGATATCATAGATGCATTGATAACTTCTCAAAACCTAGATTCTCAATAGCAGACACAGGGTGTCGACTACCTGGAAAAACCTGGAAAATCTAGGAATATCAGGGAATTCACTTTTGAACCTTGAGTATCAGGGAATCTCAGGGAGTTTCATTCAAATATTTCTTAGTCACTGAAACTTATGACTGGCTTCGTGTAGTTTAAGAATAGTTGTTCATTTCAAATATTAAATAGAGTTGCGAACTTGTGGTTCCTCAAGCATGTTGCATTTTTGCAAGTTGAGCAAAAATTACTCAAATAAAAGGATATTTCGATGATTTTGGGCCTAATGTAAATTCAGCTCCCACTGGGTATTGTCACATAACTGAGTTGAACTGAAATCATGAGGATTGATAAACATCCTTTCCGTAGA